CTTTTTCTTGGGATGGGTTGAACATGAACAAATTTCCAGTTTTCTGGGAAGGTGCCGGATTCATAAGATATCTGGAAGAGACGCGAAAGAACTGGAGCAAGCTCTGCTGCACACCTCTGCAGTACAATGGCAGGAATCAAGTCCGGACCAGAAGCTTCGTTGATGTCGAACGACAAGAGCACTTGTCTTGCGGTCTTATGCCTGAATGTTACCTCCCGAATAGTGTAGGGAACCCTCTGAATGATCTTGGTGAACTGTAAACTGGAACGCTAATCAAATAGTTGTTTCCTGTGTCATTTTTGGCAAAAAAAGCAAAAGTTTTGTCGTGTTTTATCAGTCTCGCCTTTAAGGACCAAGTCAACTTTGTGATAAGACGTGATATGAGGAGGATCTAAACACATTATTTTGCCGGAAATAGATGCATTCCCAAATTGATTGGTAAACGTTAAAACACACGCCAAACTCTGTCAGAAAAGATGATAGAACATTTCCTACTAACTATTCTATCCCCTTAATTTCAAGAATTGGATCTCAGTAGGTGTTTTGTAATTCTAACGGAGAAACGAAGACAGTTATTGATTTTCTCTTCATACTCTTCTTGATTACTCGAGAACACAGGGGTCATATATACAGGGTTATCCAAATTAAGTGTCCACCATTAGTAACTTTGTTATTAGTGAAAATACAAAAACAATTGAGAGTCGTTATTTTGATTTTTTTCAGTAAAATAACATTTTTTTAAATGGAAACCCCTGTATATTATATTTTTTTCTGTTAAAGCATCAAATTTTAAACAAAAAAGTTTATAATGACTTTTCCGCTAAAGTCAAAAATAAAGTCAAAATAACGATAAATATTTTTAATTATTTGCAGTATTATAATATTAAGACGGCTATGAAAACAACATGGCGTTCGCGATTTGACAGCATTAAGATAAGCGACAAATTGTTAAACTGGACATACTCGCAACTAGAAGGCTTTGGAAAACAATGATAAAATCAAATAATGTCAATCATTAGTGTAAATACTTGTCTATAAGCTTTATTGTGTCATTAATTTAAAGAAAAATGTTCTCCCATGAAGAAAAGTGTGATATGTTAGAATGCTATTTAGTGTGCAGAAAATCCTCCTTGAGAGCAAGAGAATTATATCCCGCTCGCATTCAACCGTATGAACGATATTTTCTGAGACTTTATCGAAAATTTAGGGGCAACGAAAATGTTTTTGCTAAAACAAGGGCAAAAAAAGAATTCATAATCAGCGAGGCCACGGAAATTGCAGTTATTGGATATTTTGAAGCTTATCGTGAGAATTCAATAGCAGATATTCTCAAGGACTCTAATTTCAGTTATGGTACTGTTCAAAGGATTTTAAAAAAATACAAATTTATTCCGTATAAGTACCGACCAGTTCAAACGCTTTTGGCAGGGGATCCAGAGAGAAGACTTGTTTTTTGCCATTGGTATCTTAGCTTCTGTCGCCAAAATGTAAATAACTTTCGTTACCTTTTATGGACAGATGAATCAAATTTTTCAAATTCTGGAATGTTTAATAGAAAAAACCACCATTATTGGTCAAGAGAAAATCTTTTGTTAGTACATCCAAGAGGCCCACAAGTCCGTTTCAGTTTCAACGTTTGGTGCGGTATAATTGGTTCAAAAATTGTTGGCCCGTTCTTTTATGAGGGAACCCTAACTGGTGAAAGATATGTGGAATTTATGTCAGAAATTCTGACTAATTTCTTAGACGAATTGGATCTTATAAGTAGACATCATCTGCATTTTCAGCAAGATGGCGCACCTGCCTACAACTCCAGAGGTACTTATCATTTTCTAAGTACTACTTTTAATGATCAGTGGATAGGAACAAATGGCCTAATACAGTGGCCTCCCAGATCACCAGATCTAAACCCACTCGATTACTTCTTGTGGGGTTACTTAAAGAACCAAATTTACAAGCGAAGGTACGATAACCTTGACGCGTTAAAGACTGCAGTTAGGGAAAAGATAACCCAGATAGATGGTAGGACCATACTTAAGACAGTTCGAGCAGTTGAAAAACGTGCCCAAAAATGTATTGAAGAACAAGGTGGTGTTTTCGAGCATCTTCTTTAAAAAAAATTGTTATTGTATTTTGTAAGATTATAAGTTGATGTTGAAAATAAAGTTTGTCGATACAATTTAATTGTTTCAGATTGGAGGCCATAACTTCAACAATTTGTAACCTAGGAGAAAAGTTATTGTAAGCTTTTTTGTTTAAAATTTGATGCTTTAACAGAAAAGAATATAATATACAGGGGTTTCCATTTAAAAAAATGTTATTTTACTGAAAAAAATCAAAATAACGACTCTCAATTTTTTTTTTATTTCTCATTTTTACCAGCGTTAAAAATGCTACTAGTTTGCTAATTCAAACAACTTTGTATTTTCACTAATAACAAAGTTACTAATGGTGGACACTTAATTTGGATAACCCTATATATATACTTTGAAGTTGAGTCATTAATTTTCAGATAATGATTGTAGAAGGAAGATAAACCAAAATATGTGTCTAAAAATAAAAAAAAAATAAAAAAAATTTCTTACCTTGTTTTATAAAGTATTTCACTGCGGACCTGTATTTGATCGTGAGGTCCCCTGTGAGGTCTTAAGTTACCTGATTCACGAGCCCGTTGTACTACATTAACAAAGGCACGAGGGGTTGGTTGCACTCGATTGGGAAACCGATCCGCATAAACATGTGCCATTTTTTATTTCGTTTGAGCCACGCAACAGACACTATTCACACGCATTACCGACTGACACTAACTGTATGTATAACTGAACTGAATAAAATAATTGTAAAAACATCGTTCCAAATTCTTTCGCTTTTTTGTTTCCGATGCGATGAACCGATAAGGCGGATTATATCCGTTGTTGCCAAACACGAGCACATGATATTATTATTGAGACAGGACGGTACTCAAACTTCCAAAGGGCTATAACTTTGTTACTTTAATTTTACCAGAAAAATGGTAAAGAAAAAAAAACATTTCTTTTGATCAGATCTACTCACTGTTAAAATAAATGACTCAACTTCGAAGTCACCCTGTATATATATACAGGGTGTCCGCAAAGTTGGGGTTTTCCTTTACACGACGTGTAGATCTTGAAAACATAAGCAATTTTTCTTAGTACCATATACACCAATGTCTTAAGGGAACCGAGATAAAGGGCTCTGCAACATCAAAAATATCTGAATACCGTCCTGTAGCCGCGACATCCCCGACTGGTACAAGGTCACTGGCTCAACCCGATGACAGAACTGGGTCGGGGTCAGTGTGTCAGGTCAGTACGCAACCTTCAACCGACGGTTACGGTCATGCATGTAGAGGTAATCGCGTAAACGAGAATCCCTCAACAAGCACTAGAGACGTGGCTAGAGAAGTGCAAGTACCAAAAACTAAAGTGTGGCAAACGCTGCGTGAAGAGGGGCTGTATCCGTTTCACGTCCAGCGTGTACAAGCCCTTCAACCTGACGATTTTCCAGCAAGAGTGCGGTTTTGTGAGTGGTTGTTGCATCGACATGACAATAATCCAGACTTTTTGAAGTGCATATTGGTGTCAGACGAATCTACGTTCACGCGTAATGGGGTGATTAACTTTCGCAACACTCATGTTTGGTCAGGAGAAAATCCGCACGTTGTCCGTCGGGCACATGTTCAACAAACATTTTTGGTGAATGTTTGGGCTGGCATGGTGAACGGTATGCTCATTGGACCATTTATTCTCCCAAATCGATGGGACGGGATGCAATACCTAGACTTTTCACGCAACATTTTGCCTTCCTTGTTAGAAGATGTGCCATTAAGTGTAAGACAATCAATGTGGTTTCTGCACGATGGTCATATTTGGTACCTCTGTTCGTGGCCTGGACCACCGCCGGCGTCTGCTCGGTAGCGCATCAGCTGATTTCATTTTCTGTTGGAGCGGTATGGTTTCGGGCAGAGACGTACTCAGCCCTTCTCGTCAACTGGAGAGTGAGTACTTTTTCCTTTATTTTTTTTTTACTTGATCGCCCTCGTTTCACTACACATTACCTTTGTTATTTCAAGAGTAGTTGTTTCTGAAAAGGAAAACCCCAACTTTGCGGACACCCTGTATATAAGGTACATTATGTGGCTGTTGAAATACTGCATATTAATGTAGTATCTCAACAGCTGTGGATTGGAAGGGGAAGTTTGTTTCCATGACCTTCGCGATCACAAGTATTAACTTGGTTTGATTTTTATTTATGGCGTTGGTTGAATGACCTGGTGTTTCAGACTCAACCTACAGTCAGAGAAGATATGAAAAACCGGATTCGTAATGCAATACGTAACCTACCGAGAGCCGAAATTTTAGCTGCAGTTTTAAATCGGTCCTTTTTAGGGCCACAAGTTAATAATAAAAAGAAATTCCCAAAAAATTAGTTCAAAAAAACTATTATTATTGGTATAGACATCATTTAGCTACTTTTTCATAAAAAAATCATACCAATGCATCTAATTTTTTTCAGAAAACTAACCATTTCTGTCGGAATATCGAAGAAAGTCAACTAGCGGCCACATGCGAAACTAACAGAACTTTAAAAATTATAACGTTTGTAAACCAAGAATAACTTTTTTCAAAGTTACCCAAGTTTGTTAAAATCGGTTCAGCAGTTGCGAAGAGATACAGGGTTCCCCCCACCACTATTTTTAGATAGCAAAAATTGTCAAACAAAAAAGGCTCAGATTATCCTCTTGTTAGGTTATTTTGGCGGAATTCAGAGAAACATCACTTGTTTAGATTCAAGATTGCAGATACGCCGCCCACCGGTCATTTCAGAAACTTGAAAATATTTTCCAGATTTTCTCTACGATGGATCTGTTCCCAGATACAGTACCTAGCATTCTCAGTTGGTCACCCTGTACAATACGTAATTATTCCTATCATTAAAGTAAACTGTCCGGATTGAGCGAAGTGAACATTAACACTTACTTGAAATTGAGACTGGTTCTGTCTATTTTCCTCTGCCATGTCGAGCATTTCTTCGTTCAGCTGCGGACGTGGGAAAGCACTTGTGGCGCGTATATTTCACATTGGAGGAGTTACAGCGATTAAGTTCTCCCAGGCAGCTCTGTTCTTATTTATTTTATGAGAAATGTTCGTGACACCACAGCATATCCAATACGAGGGTTGATACTTACGCTCCACCCCAAATCGACTTTCAATAACGCTACATCTAATTCATATCCTTTATTACTGTACATTCAACTTCTTTCCTTCACTTTCTTTCTTTCAGTACAGAATATTTTGAATTTGAATTTGAATATTAGTCCTCTAATGACACTTGCAAACCGAGAGGAAATGGTGGCGGTATACACGGCAACCTGTTTTCGTGATAACCTTGATATGGTACTAGTACTATTTACTACATAATTTTTTTTAACATACCCTGTATTTTATTATTATTATTATGTACAGGGTGTTCCTTAATGATATGTGAATATTTAAGGGTGTGAATCTACATGAAAAATTAATGTTAGTTTGCCCAATAAACTGTGGTCCAAAAATGTTTTCTTACAAAAACTGTGGACGTTGAAGTTTTAGGAAAACAATTGAAATTAATTAATATTTTCAGATCCGCTTCAGATATTTCACTGATATTTAGTACGTAGTGAAAGTAAATAAAGCTGCAAATTTTTCAATGCAAAAATAATTTTTAGCGTTAACAGTGGCGTGCGTGCGGGTATTGACTTCGATATTTTTAAGAAAAAAAATGGTAGGCCAATAGTTTTTTGCAAAATAAAAATTATTTTTGAATTCCCCGTTCAATTTAAAACAAACGATCTTTCTTGAATTGTTTTTCTTCGATGCGCCATTGTTGAGTAAAATAATAAAAATCGTTCTATTGTCTAACTTGCAAAATTATTATTGATTTAATTGGAAAAATTAAACACATTAGGGGTAATGAACAACAACAACTGACAACATAAACATGACATTAAATCCAACGAAATGATTACAAGCATTGTTGAAAATGACACCCTTCACTTAGTATGCATGCTTCCGCCCTCCTTCTGTTTTTATTCTATCACAAGCTGCAACTATTCTTTCTCTTAATTCCTCTACAGTGTTAATGGGACTTGCGTACACTAGTGTCTTAAGATAGCACCACAAAAAGAAATCTAAACTGTTGAGGTCTGGGGACCTTCGTGGCCATCCTTGGGGCCCACCGCGGCCAATCCAACAGTTTGTAAATAATTACGAATCGCTACACTGAAATGCGCTGGTCCACCATCATGCATGTACCACATACTGTTTCTTATTACTAACGGAACATCATCTAGCTGCAAAGGCAACGGTTGTTGAAGAAAATTGAGGTAAGTATGTCTGTCAAGTCGACCCGGCAAGAAGAATGGGCCAGTAAAGTGGTTTGCCAATAATTCCTGCCCATACGTTAACCGAAAATTGGTGTTGGAAATGGGTTTCGGTTACGGCATAGGAATTTTCTTCTACCCACAAATGATTATTGTTGAAATTCTGAATGGCATTTCGAGAAAAATTAGCTTCGTCCGTGAACAGAATCATTGATTCAAATTGCGGATTTTGTGCAACTTTTGAAGATACCACTGACAAAAAGTCACATGCCTAGTAAAATCAATGGGAGGTAATGCCTGTACTCTTAAAATATGATAAGGTTATAACAAAAAATCCACTAAAATTCTCCAAAAAATTTGATGGCAAATATTTAAGTGTCTGGCGGTCTTCCTCGTACTCGTTTCAGGATGTTCTTCGACGTACAGCACTGCTTCCTCAATTTCAGGTGTTCTCACACTTAGAGATCTACCTTCAGATGTTCCTTTTCGGACAGAACTGGTTTCAACAAGACGACGATGAATATTAGAAAAGGTTCGACTTTCTGGCAAAGCACGATCGGGATATCTCTGGTGATAAATCCGTCTGGCTTGCTCACCATTACCGTTGGCAGTGCCATATACGTAATGCATTTCCGCCATTTTTGCATTTGAATAATTCACCATTATTAATAAGATTCTAAAAACTAAATAATGAAAAAGATGTCACAGCGAACAGATTTGAATAGCAGGGACTTGTCAGATGTGAAAAGCCAGGGACATATTCCAGAGCAACCAGATATTTATTGCTAAATTGCATTTCTCAATTATTACATTACTTTTCTCGGACAATAGAACGGTTTTTATTTTTTTACTCAGAAATGGCGCATCGAAGGAAAGCAACTCAGGAGAGATCATTTGTTGCAAATTGAACGGGGAATTCAAAAATAATTTTTATTTGACAAAAAACTATCAGAGTACTATTTTTTTCTTAAAAAATATCGATTCCAATACCCGTACGCACGCCTCTGTTAAAGTTAAAAATTATTTTGCATTGAAAAATATGTAGCTTTATTAACTTTCACTACGTACTAAAAAATATCAGTAAAGTATATGAAAATATTAGTTAATTTCCATTTTTTTCTTAAAACTTCAACACCCCGAGTTTTTGTAAGGATACATTTTTGGACCATAGTTTATACAGCTAACTAACATTAGTTTTTCATGTATTCACACCCTTAAATATTCGCATATAATTAAGGAACACCCTATATTAAATATATTATTATATTTTGTTGCACATTTCGATAGAGGTTCTAAAAACAAGAAGCTTGATATAATATAACATATGGTTTAGATTGTCAATTGTTTGGGCAGTCACTGAGTCAATTGTTTGGACAGTCACTGATATATATGAAAAAATGCTCAAATTTGAAGGCTCGCAGCTTCGTCAATTTTAAAGATCACAAACAAAAAATCATGATATTTATCAACCCTGTCACCTACTAATACCATGTCAACCCAGAACAGTTTTTCAGGCAATTTTTATTTTCTCTCAAAAAAAAGTCGGATTTTGTGATTTACGACATTTTTGGTGACATTACTTCTTAGTTTAAAGAAATGTAGCATATGGCGCCAAAAAAGCATCAGTGTGGCAACGCTGTACGGGACTAGCGCGCGGTAATTCTCCGTCCGTTGTGTGCGGATGCCGAGCGACGCCTCGCGCGGCGCCGCCGTCGAGTAGCCTGCGACGCCGACGTCGGGAGCGTACACGCATGTCGGCGACGGATCCAACGTTGCCAAATGTCCAAAAGATTCTTCAGACATGAAGAGCTCATGCGAGATCAAATTTACCGTAATTAAGGAGCTGGGTGTTGTTCAAATTGTTTTCTAGGTCGATTGTCCCAAAATTATGAGATTGGACTGATAGTATAATAAACTTTTGTTCAATTTGCTATGCAGTCAACGATCTATAAACAATCTATAAGATTACAATTTCATGCTGCAGCTAATAGTAATGAATTACAGTTAAAGGTCAGATTTATATAAGTAAAACATCATGATTAAATTAGAATAAACGAGGTGCCTAAAATGAATAACTAATAAACTGTATGCTTTTTTAAACAACGTAAACAGTAAAATAGAATAATAAGTAAAATAGCTCATCAAATAATTAATAAGGATTTTAGAACTCTTGCAGGGTGTATAAACACACTAGTGGTATAAATTAATGTTTTAAAAGCTGTTTTTCAAAAAGCTCTAAATTATTGATGATCTTCAGCTCGGAGGGCGAACTGTTAATGATAAGTAGTCAGGGCTACTGCGGTTTGTGCTGAGGCTATAATTCTTCAATACAACGGTGTTATTATTCAGTTTCGATTTCAATTTGGATGGATAGGATTTCACATGAAGGCACACCTCTAAAATAAGTATGTCGACGTTAGTGTTCCTTCATCTCTAGCATGGTATTTATCGCAAGCATTAAAACATATCCGCTCATTGAAAATATCTCTAAATCTAACTGGTACAACACTAGCTAGTAGAATTTGCACCATCAAGTAGCTATTATATGCGTAAGCTTATAGAATTTGGGAGAACGTATGGACATGAAATCTTTATTAGAGATAATATACTAAGTGACATATAAATCCGAACACCCAGTTTAAATGGTTTTATTTTAATAAAAGTTGGTGAATGTATTTATCTTACTGTAAATAACAAGTGAAAAAATGTTCAGCCTTTTATTTTAATTCACTAACGCTCTAAAAATAAATATTTCAGCCGCAGTAAAGAATTAACGTTGGCGGATTTTGGTTCTTGACATCCTTTACGATCGGTTACGATGCCTAGAGTACGGAGACCTGTACGATTTCGTCAACTTAGTGAGTTTGATAGGGGCCGTATAGTGGGACTTCGGGAATCTGGACTTTATTTTCGGGCAATTGCAGTTAGAGTGCAAAGAAGTGTAGACACTGTGGTTAGGTGTTGTCAGGCATGGCTTCGAGAAGGCCGTACGCAAAGAGCAAGGGGCACTGGACGCCGTGAAGATCGCCGCTTAAGATTATTGGCCTTAAGGGACCGTTTCTCCACTACCAGGTCCATTGCAAATGAATGGTTTGCAGAACACGGAAGACCTATTGGCATGCGAAGTGTTTACCGACGAATGAGAAGTTTTGGCTTGTTTTCATACCGGCCACACTGGGTCCTCCCTTTAACTCGAGAACACCCGACGTAATCGCCTTGAGTGTTGCAGACAACGGTCAGTCTGGGATCAGGAATGGAACAGTATTACCCTATCTTGACACCCTGGCAGATCCAACTTTCCAACAAGATAATGCCCGACCACATGTTGCAAGAGTCACAATAGAATTCTTTCAACATAATGATGTCACATTGTTACCATGGCCACCAAGATCTCCCGACTTATCCCCAATTGAGCACGTGTGGGATATGATGGGTAGGAGATTGCTCAATTTGCAACGTCCTCCTCAGACTCTAGAAGCACTTCGAGAGGAGTTGGTGGTTGCCTGGAATGAGATACCACAGGAGGACATTGACCACCTGATCAGAAGCATGCCTAGGCGCGTTGGAGAATGCGTAGCACATCAGGGTGCATCCACACATTATTAAAGGTCAAAGGGCTTTAAAGCAGTGCAATCATTTTGAAATTTTTATCATTTACTTATTATG